CTTGTCCACCCTGCAGAGCGGGGCCACCGTGCTATGGTGGGCCATGATCTGGTCGCTCAGCGTATGTTTTGGGGTTGACTGAGGTGCTTTGTTGCTGGCATCATCCATAGGTGATGCCTTTGCTATTCTAATTCTGATCTTATGAAAAATGTAAAAATTTTAAAATTCTAGGCTGTATGATAAACAAATAAATGAGCCTAAAGTTTTTAAATGAATAAAAAGTGTACTTAAGGCAAAAATCTTACCAAAAACTTCCTAGACGTAGTGCTTGATTAAGTCTGATGACAAACTGCACAAACCAGTCAGTATTACTCAGAGAAGAGTGTGGTTTTTCCTTGGTGGGACGTAGCAATTCTAGAACTGCTGAACTGCTTCCAGGAAGTTACAGGACTAAATACATGAGCGCCCTTCGCTGGGGCGCTGAGGTCTGGACCCCCATGAGAAGAGAGAGAGGAAGCCCGATCTTGTGCCGAGAAGACTTGCGCCCCCAGCCTGCCTGGTGCTTCTGTCGGCACGCACATGCCTGAGGGCGTGTGTTGGCAGCGCTGGTGTGAGTCCTGCAGAGGGCTGGGCGAGGCTGCGGGAGCGCTGTGCACACACTGTCTGTGCTGGTGCTGGAGATCGGTAGCTTCTGCCACAGAGCTGCTGTGCTGCCACCGCCTTTGTTCAGGCCACCTGCCAACACCTCTGTTCGATTTTGTGGCAGTGTTTTAATTGCTGTCCCAGTGGAAGTGTTTTCCTTGGTTACTGAATTCTGGTTGGCGTTTCAGGACCTTGGCGGCCTTGCACCTTTGTCTCCTGGCATGTGCTGGTTCTCTTCTAATCCCGCAGTTCCAGGCCCCTGTGTGGGCCACAGTACAGATGGCCGCAAGCGCTTGTCTTGATTGCCTCAAAGGACCTCATTCCCTGCCAGCGCGCCCTCTGCTCCGGCTGCCCACTGTGCTGTGCTTAGCTTGCACGTCAAGCTTTGTCGCCGGCACGGCTGTGTGGGAAAAGCAACGTGCGTAACGTGCCTTATTCCATGGTTTCAGGCCTCTGCTGGGGGTTAGGCTCTGAATAAAAGTAAAAAGGGGCCTGGGCCGGGGAGGTAGCTTAGCAGTTTAAGCACCTGCCTGGCAAGTTCGAGGTCCCAAATTTGATCCCTGGTTCTACAAGTAAAAGACGTGGGGGCACTGAGGTGGTACCTCTTTGTGAAGGCCTTAGTTCAGTACCTTGTATTAAAAAATAAAGGCCTTTTTTACAGAAAGAAGATTTCAAAACAAACAGAATAATAGTAGTCCATGCAGTCTGTCTTGTTATCTTCAAATCATTTATTCAGGGGAGATGGCTCAGTGGGCCTAAGTTCAATTCCCGGTTCTGCCAAAAAAAAAAAAAAATCATTTATTCAGAGTAAAAAATTATGGGCATAAAAATTCCCCACATATTATTAGCACAAACTAGTAGCATACCTAACTTAGAACGTTTACGCAAGTCCTCTGGGTCCGTCTGTAGGCTGCTCCTGGTTTCTACTCCGCTCGCAGGTCTTCTAGGTCTCTGTGCATCTGGTAGTTCGTGCTGATGCCAGCCTTCTGAATCCAGCTCATGGCGTGCGGGCTTTCCTGCTGCCTCAGCGCGACGCTGCGAGGGGCCAGCGAGGGGCGGTCTGCTCACACCGCGCACGGCCGGGCTTACCTGTGTCGAGGGCTCCAGAGCAGCCCATGCCTGCGCTGGTGCGCACCCCCTGGCCAGCGCTGCGCTCTGGCGGAGCGTGGGCGACGACTGGCCCCGGCTTCTTTCTGGCCGCATCTCAAGCTCACGCGCAGGCTGCAGTGCAGAGTTGGGGCCTCCTCTCCAGGGCACAGGCTGCGTGGGTCAGATGGCTCCTCGGGACCTTCCCGGGCTCCTTTAGGCGAGGGCTGCGTGGCTGTGCTGCCTGTGCCTACCCTTTTGCCAAGTGCTCAGGGTTTCTTCTGTTTTCACTGGCTGAGCGGGTGCATTTTCCACTGCTATGAAAGTGATCTTGGGCTTCTGTCCAGCCTTCTTCTATGGGTGAATTGTGTTGATTGATGTAGGGATCCAGCTTCCCTCAGTGCTGACCAGTATGACTGCCCTGAGTAACCCACCTGCGGCCCCTGCTAAGCCAGCAGATCCACGGGAGTGAAAGTACAGCAGCAGCAGACACACCAAAACAACACCCTGGATGTGGAGGCAGATTTATGTATGTCAGTGGGCGCTGACCAGGATCATTCCCAGAAAACTGGGTCCTGACCTCTGGTGGCCTAGGACTTATGCAGGATCAGCACGCAGGAAGTACAGAGGCAGAAGGGCTTGTCCCCTGGGGGTGGGTTTATACAGTGTGTGCCACAGTGACCAGCTGTTCCTAAGAAACAAAAGTTACGGGAATTGTAACGGGAACTGTTCCCTGGGTAACTAGCAGACAAGTACGCTGGCTGGGGGTGCATCTTCCCTTATAAGAGGGGGAACCCACGTGGTTCCAGTTGTGCCCGGCTGCCACACACTTTGGGAATTGCCACACACTTTGCACTCAGTTCTTTTCCAGTAACAAGGAGTTTTGTGTTTATTATATTGATTTGCAGTTTAAAAACTGTTTTCTTTATAGGCAGAGCTGTAAATTCTGTCCCGGGCACCCTGGTGGCCAGCGGTGTGTCTTAGCCATTATCCCATGGGTGATTTTGTTTCACAGCAGCTTGTCCCATCTGCCACCTGCAGCTGGATCGTTGTAGCGCAAAGCCAAAATACGTCATCCATAGATAATTTTCTGTTTGGCTCTTTTTTCTTTTCCTTGTTTTTTGTTTTTGTTTGCTTTTATGATGGTACTGGGGATTTGGCCCAGTAGGTCACACACACAGATTGCTCTCTTTTCAGACAGGGTCCCAGTAGTTGTCTAGGCCAGGCTTGAACTTGTGATCACCCTGCCCCAGCCTTCCAGAGTGCTGGGGTCACAGATGTGTGCCACCATGCCCAGCTCACTGTCTCTTAACAGTCACCCAATCTGTCTTGGCGGGTTTTCCCATTTTGGATGTTTCCTACAGGTTCACTCAGACAGCGTCTGGCCTTTTGGTGTGGCGCTTTCGAGGTTCTTCAGGACTCATTCAAGAGTAGGGTTTGTTCCTTTCTGTGGCTGCACCACATGCCTCTGCGTGGCTGTGTGGTATTTTAAATCCCTTCATCACCTGATGGACACCGGATCGTTTCTGCTGCTGGTGGTGTGACACAGCTGTGAACCATCATCTGGCTGCGTGGTCTCACTTCTCCCAGGTGGACCTCTAACTGTGGGGTAGGTGTGTGGGGCCGTAGTTTTAGACTTTGAGCGGTTGTGCCGCTTGGTATCTGTGCCAGCAGTGAGCCTCCGATTCTGTGCGCCCTCGTGACCTGCCTTTTTATTCTGGCCAGCCAGCAGTATGCACTGGGAGTTACTGGGGCTTGGGCTCAGCAGTATCCAGTTAGGTGATTCCTTCCCAGATCTGGCTTCTCATTCTTTACAGTCCCATATCTTTTCTTACTCGTGTGTGTGTGTGTGTGTGTGTGTGTGTGTGTGTGTGTTGTGCAGGGGATTAAATCCAGGGGCACTGTATCACTGAGCTACATCCCCAGCCCTTTTCATTTTGTGAGACAGGATCTAACTAAATTGTTCAGGTTGGCTTTAAACTTGCGGTCCTCCTGGCTCAGGCTCACAGGTAAATGGGATTATAGACACGTACTGCCATCTTTGGCTTCTGTATCTTATTTTTAAAAATATTTTGCATATGAGCTATATATGGTAGCACATGTCTATGATCCTAGCACTCTGAGAGGCTGAGGCAGGAGGATCCCAAGTTCAAGCCCAACTTGAGCAGTTTAGCAAGACCTAATCTCAGAGGTAAGAAAGTGGGCAGCGGATAAAGCTTAGTGTAAGTGCACTTTATCCCACCACAGAAGTGTGTGTGTGTGAGTGTGTGTGTGTGATCATTTCACATCGCATGCAGTGATTCCAGCAAATGAATCTTTGGTGTTCTGGAAGTGCTGCTTGCTGCTTTTGCTGTCACTCAGGTGGCTTATTTTCTTATGTACTTGATGGTATTTAACTTCTTGACTCTTATTATTTTGCATGTTTTGAGTGTCCTGCTGGGATTTCAGTCCAGAGCCCCATGCTTGCTAAGGCTGTGCTCTGCACTGAGCCGTGGCCTATTTCTGGAAAGCCTCCTGCCACAAACACCCTGTCCCATCCTGTCGGAGGGCCTGGGTGTTTTATGAGCCTGGGACCCTTCCTGGGGCAGTTGATCTTTCCTGGGATGACCAGGACCCTTTCCTGGGGAGACTAAATCCTTCTTCAGGTGAGCAGACTCCTGCTCTGCACAGGGATGGATATGGTTGAAGCCTGTTCCCAGTGGCAGAGTCATGGTATGGCTTACACTGGGCGACACAGGCTCAGCCCCTCGCCTAGATCCCGGCTGAAACCCCGGCCTGGGCCCTGCTCCTCATAGCCCGGCCTGCGTGTGAAGCACCCTTGCTGCAGTGAGCATGCGCTCCCTGGCATTGGTACCTGAGCTGCCGATGTTGTTGCTAGTTCTTAAACTCTTTTTGTTGGTGTGCTCTGCTCTTGTCCTACACATCTTCATTATCCTTTGAATTTCGTCCCCATTAGTCTAAATTGATCATTTTACCTGTATAGTGGGGTAGAACAAATTGATTTCAAATCAATTCTGATAAACCTCAGCTTCCAGGTACCTCTGATAAGCTAAAGAGTGACAGTGCACATCTGAGGTGAAAATAACTGTAATACCCTGGTAGCTCCTTATCCAAGTTCTCCTGATGCTCTACCAACAGGCAGCTTGAATTTGAATCCGTATCTACTTTTGTTTAGTTTGCGGCCGTCGGGTATTGTATTTTACCTTGCAAATGGACTGCATAGTGTCTGAATCCTTTGCTGTTTCCATTTTCCTTCTACAGTCCTCGTGTGTTTAGGCCAGCGTGTTCATGACAGTGTGGATCTGAAATCCGTTCCGTGGCTCTGTGCTCACTCTGCTGCATCTTTTGTAGGAAATGCAGGAGGACCAGGTGCGTGCTGCAAGGTGGCTGGGTCCTGTCCTTAGGACCTGAAGCAGGTCTGGCTGCGAGCACGTGTGTCCACACTGCAAGGGACGCCTCTAACAGCAGTGCTCCACGAACGCAGAGCTGTGGATCCCAAGGTGACCTGTGCCCAGACCCATGTCTACAGAGGAGCCACATCCACAGACTCGTCCCAGAACGTGCGGCGGACGTGAAACATGGAGGCAGTCTGCATGCGGGTCACAGATGAGCATTCGGACCGATTTCTGATCACCCCGAGACCCTGACATGACAGAGCAGCCAGGGTAGGTATGGTTGGTCATGGAGAATAGCCAGGAAACTCGTCCCAAAGGGGATGGGGATTTTGTTTCCAATAAGATAAATTTTAAAATAGTGGAGGAGGACGATGATCAAATCCCTAGCCACAGTTTGGAAAGAGTGGACTTCCAAAGTGAGCGGGAGGACATGAGGCCCGCTGACAGTGGGGACGAGCAGGCGGACGTTGGGGCTGCGGGCTGCGCCTGGCGGCCCCCCAGGAAGTGCCTGCCCGTGGAGAGTGAGGACGAGGACCTGTTCTCCCAGTACAGCAGCACCCTGTACAGCGTGGCCATGGAGGCGGTGACACAGAGCCTGCTCTCCAGCCGGCACCTGAGCTCCCGGAAGAAGTCTCCAGCCTGGAAGCACTTCTTCATCTCCCCGCGAGACAGCACCAAGGCGATCTGCAGGTACTGCATGAAGGAGTTCAGCAGGGGCAAGAACGAGAAGGACCTGAGCACCAGCTGTCTGATGCGGCATGTGCGGCGCGCACACCCCACCAAGCTGGCACCCGAGAGCGGGAGCCTGCCCGGGGGGTCCTTCTCTGCCCCCTCCCTGCCGCTCCCTCCAGAGCCCACGGACACGGGCGACCTGGGTGCCACGCTGTCACCTGTCAGTCTCGTCCCAGACATGGCACCTAAGATCCCATCCCCTGACCGGATAAAGGAGGAGTCTGTGTCTGCATTGCCCTCAGAAGGAGTTGCGGGTAAGTTCGGCAGAGAGGAGGCCCTGGTGGGGTCCTCCCCACGCCTGCCTCCACTGCACTATGACGAGGCTGCCTCTGAGAGCGTGGCCGAGAGGAGCCTCCCCCTTCCCAGGAGCACGGCTGGCTCCAGGCGGAGGTCGGCCGTGTGGAAGCACTTCTACCTGTCACCCCTCGACAGCTCCAAGGCCGTGTGTGTGCACTGCATGAACGAGTTCAGCAGGGGCAAGAACGGCAAGGACCTGGGCACGAGCTGCCTCATCAGGCACATGTGGCGGGCGCACCGGGCCGTCGTGCTGCAGGAGAACGGGGGTGGCCCAGGCATCCCACCCCTGTACCCCACGCCCCCCACACTGCTGCCCGCCCTGTTGCCCCCTGAGGGCGACCCCAGCTCCGTGCCGTCCTCCCCAGGCCAGCCCATGGGCGAGTGCCCATCTGCTGCCTCATCCCCAGACCAGCTGGCTGAGGACCTGCCGCTGCACGCCCATTCTGGGGATGCGCTTCAGGAAGACTCTGATGACGTTGCTGCGGCCTCAGCAGTGTCCTCCCCCGAGAAGCCTCACACTGGCGGGCTGAGTCCCAGGAGGTTTGCATCAGGGGCTGTCTTCCAGCAGAGTAAGAAGGCGATGAGGAGACTGAAGTCAGAGGTCTGGCACCACTTCTCGCTGGCCCCCACGGACAGCCTCAAGGCCGTGTGTCGCTACTGCAGCTGTGCCATCAGCCGGGGCCGCAAGGGGGACGTGGGCACCAGCTGTCTGATGCGGCATCTCTACCGGCGCCACCCTGAGGTGGTTGGTGTGCAGAAGGACCTGCTGGGTGCCAGTCTGGCCAACTCTCCATATGCCACTCTGGCTTCTGCCGAGAGCACCTCCTCCACCCTGAGTGTCCTGCCAGCCACGGCCAGAAAGAGTCACCAGGTCCTGCTCCCTGTGCACAGCAAGAAGACTTCGAAGCTGTGGAACCACTTCTCCATCTGCTCTGCAGACTCCACCAAAGTGGTGTGTCTGCACTGTGGCCGCACCATCAGCCGGGGCAAGAAGCCCACCAACCTGGGCACCAGCTGCCTCCTGCGACACCTGCAGCGCTTCCACGGCCACGTGCTCAAGGCCGACGCCCCAGAGCCCACGCTGCCTCACTCTGCGTCTGGGTGCCGGCCGCCGAGCTCCGAGCTGTCAGGTGCTTCCTCCTTCAGTGACCCCAGTGAGAAGCTTTATGACTCTCACCCAGTTGCCAAAAAAATCACAAGTCTCATAGCTGAAATGATTGCACTTGACCTCCAGCCATATTCTTTTGTAGACAATGTTGGCTTCAACAGGCTGCTTGAATACTTGAAACCTCAGTATACCCTCCCTTCCCCCTCCTACTTCTCCAGGACGGCTATCCCAGGGATGTACGACAATGTGAAGCGGATCATTATGTCCCGGCTGAAGGAAGCAGAGAGTGGGGTGGTCCACTTCACCTCCGGCCTCTGGATGAGCAACCAGACCCGCGAGTACCTGACCCTCACGGCACACTGGGTCACCTTCGCGTCCTCCATGCGCCCACACAGCAAGGACCACCACTGCTCGGCCCTCCTGGCCGTGTCACAGGTGGACTGCGACTGCAGTGGCAGTGGCATCCAGAAGCAGCTGGAGTGCTGGTGGGAGGCCTGGGTGGCCTCGCTCGGCCTCCAGGTGGGCATCACGGTCACAGACAACCCTAGTGTCGGGAGGACGCTGGGCGAGGCGGGGCGCTCGAGCGTGCAGTGCTTCAGCCACACGGTGAGCCTGGTGGTGAGCGAGGCCATCAAGAGCCAGCGGATGGTGCAGAACCTGCTGAGCCTGGCGCGGAAGCTATGCGAGCGCGTGCAGCGCTCTCCCCGGGCCCGCGAGAAGCTGGCGGAGCTGCAGCGGGAGTACGCGCTGCCACCACACCCGCTCCTCCAGGACGTCCCATCCCGGTGGAGCACGTCCTTCCACATGCTCGAGCGGCTGTTGGAGCAGAGGCGGGCCATCAGTGAGCTGTCTGTTGAGTGCAGCTTTCGGGAGCTCATCAGCTGTGACCAGTGGGAGGTCATGCAGTCCGTGTGCCACGCGCTGAGGCCCTTCGACGCTGCTAGCCGGGAGATGAACACCCCTGTGTCCACGCTGAGCCAGGTCATCCCCATGATCCACATCCTCAGCAGGAAGGTGGAGATGCTGTTCGGGGAGACCATGGGCATCGACACCATGCTGAAGTCGCTGAAGGAAGCCATGGCCAGCCGCCTGTCTGCGACCCTCCACGACCCCAGGTACGTCTTTGCCACACTGCTGGACCCTCGCTACAAGGCCTCCCTGTTCACAGAGGAGGAGGCGGAGCAGTACAGGCAGGACTTAATCAGGGAGCTAGAAATACTGAATTCTACCTCAGAGGACACAGCCGCCTCCCACGGCTGTGACTCAGGGTCCCTGCCAGGAGCCTCAGGCGGGGAGGACCTGTGGTCGCTGGTGGCCGAGGTGAAGAGGAGAGGTGGCAGGGAGAAGCCACCTAAGGACGTGGTGCTCACCTACCTGGAGGAGGAGGTGCTGGAGCACAGCTGCGACCCCCTTGCCTACTGGAACCTGAAGCGCTCAGCCTGGCCTGCGCTGTCCACGCTGGCCGTCCGGTTCCTGGGCTGCCCCCCAAGCACGGTGACCTCCGAGAAGCTGTTTAGCACCCACACAGAGAATGGCAGCTTTGGCCAGCCCAGGCTCATGATGGAGCATTTTGAAAAGCTCATCTTTTTGAAAGTGAACCTGCCCTTGATTTACTTTCAGTATTGAGCCCACCTTAGAGCTGGAGCCAAGGACTAAAGGTGCTTGCTCCTCAAAGTGCGCTGTTGTACCAGGGCTGTCACCCGCACGGCGGGGCCATGTGGGACACCGGGCTGGCCCCTGCGCCACCCACCTGCTCTCGTGTCTCGTCCGCATGTGCCTTACTCCTCCTGCAGCCAGGTGTCGCGGGGCATTTTTACAAGGCCACTGGCAACAGCCTCTCTTCAGCGATGAAATAGGATGATCAGGTGTTAATTCATAACTGTAAAGTTTTTTAAGAGTTAGGAGTTTTACTAGAATGGAAAAACAAAAACAATTTTGTTTTACTAGAATGGAAAAACATAAACAATTTTATTTTGCAGGTTTTTTTATTCAATTGTGTAAAAACCACAAATCAGGTACTGTATTTTAGTTAAACATTTGCTTTAATGCAACAGAACAGCTTTCGCAGCTGTCCAAGGAAGGGTGTGAATGGGGGGAGTCCAAGCCATCTGACCAAGCAGCTCTCAGCTGCAGGCTGTGGGTGTCAAGCAGAGAGAATGTTCTGGGAGCTGACTCCACTCTGGCAGGGACAAGGCATCTGAAATGAAGTTGCGTGAGGTGTCACAGAGTGGCAGTCCTCTGGTCACCAGAACGTTCCGTTCCTTTCCATTCCGGGTTTTGTATTCAGGTTTTCATATAGTCAGTAAACTCAGAGGTACCCCCACTCTGTATCATGAGCTCCTTGAAATTGGATCCAAGTTTGTAGATCTGTGCTTATGACTTAGCCAGTGCACAGAGTGAGACGTTGGCAGCAGACAGCCGGTTGATCCGATCTCCGTGGGGCTCGCTCAGCGCCACACTCTGAAGCCATCCCTGTCCCGTGGGCACTGACCCCCAGTCTGAGCAGTAGCGGCCAAGATCCCTTTTAAAGGAGATGGCTTCTTAACACAGGGAAGGTGCTGGCCGTGCTGCAGCTGTGAAAGTAGCCTTAGGCATTTAGGTTGTTATGATAGAGAAGATCCGCCATCACTCGGTGTCTAGGATCCCAGTGACATCAAAATGAAATATCAGTTGTCATATTCTTTTATAAATCAATATGGCCTCACAGTTTTTGTGTTAATGTCTGAAAAATCATTTTATCATTTCAAATCAATTTAATACTGATCTTTTAGAAAAGTCATTTTGTTGAAATGTTGTACCTATACTTAATCTAAATTTGTGTGGACTATGCTTTAGTGTATTTATAAATGGTGAACTCAGTTTCTGAAATTAAATTTTTTATTTACAATTTTCTAGTGCTGGTGGACACTGGCTTTTTATTTGGGGGGAGAGGAAAATGAATATCCTCTTTGGAAACCAAAGTGCAGAAGCCGCTTCTGTGCAGTGTGGTGCGGTGCAGCCCAGCAGGCACCAGGAGGCAAGCCAGATGCTTAGTCCCTTTTCCTGTGTCGGTGATGAGGATGGTGAGGGCTTCCGGCCCTCACGCCGAGGGAGTGTGGTCACAGCGTGCTGCCCTCCGAACGCTGGCCAGGGCCACAGGTGGGAAAGACGTTGCAGCATCTGTGGCCAGCCTGTGCTTGGGAGGATTTTTGAGTTTTAACATCATTCGAATACTGGGGTGCTGAGCTTTGTGAGTTGTCCTCTGAAATGGGGCAGCCTGTGTCACTGGCAGGACGGCACCCATCCCGTATACCTGGGCCATAGCCACAGTAGGCATCAGGGACAGTAGGGACCAGGGCCCCATGGGGTCCTCGCACATAGCCATATGCTGCTGCTCTGCCGAGGGCCCCGCACCACGGCCATCTCTGAAGAGGGATTGTGGCACTGGGGCACCCCACCTGCACGCTGTAACCAAGTTGTGGGGCCAGTCAGTGAGTCCTGCCCGGCTCTCCTCTCGGTGCTACTCGGGCAGGTCCTGGGCTTCTCGGGTCTCTCGGGCAATAAGAAGCCGCCGTGTGTGCCTTGGACGCATCCTGCGCTGCGGAGGAAGCTACCAGTTGTCTGATAATGAAACAGTCGTACCTGAGGCTGGGCGCCCTTGCCCTGGGACTGAGGGAGCAGCTGGTGTCAGCCAGCCCTCCCTTCAGCATTAGCAAAGCCATATAAATCCTCTTTTCTTTCTCTTTTTGTTTCTTCTGGCTTTAATTCTGGGAATGAAACCCAGGGTCTTGAACATGCTGGTGGGTGCTCTGCCACTCAGCGACAACCCTAATCCACAACATCTTTTGAGAAGCGCTTTCCGGAGATGTCAGAGAAGATCAAGACAGCCAGGTGCGGGAACGGCATCTGGGAGCAGGCCCTGCATTCAGGACTTCTTTCCTGTCGCAGCGCTTGCTGGTCCTGTCTGAGGCTGAGCAGAAGAGGGCAGCCAGCGCTGGTGGGCTGCACATGGACACCCTCATAAGCCGTGAGGTCATTGCGCCCAGGACCCCAGAAGCCAGCAGTAGGCCGGACGGTGGGGCTGCCTCCTCATAGGCCATCAGTGCCGAGCCTCAGGCAGCTGCCGAGACGCCCAACTTTCTGGGGCATGGCCTTCGCTGAGCCAGACAGCTGCCCATCCACCTCTGAGACCTCAGCAGTGACCACATAGTGTGACCCTCAGTAAGAACTTGTGTCCTCAGACACACAGGACCTCCTGCTCAGAGGTGACCCACGCAAGGGTGCAGACAGTGCAGGTGCCAGCCTCCTGGCTGGCCTGCTCCACATGCCCACTGGGTCAGGAGAACACAAGTTGGGAATGTGGCTTCTGCTGTGGACCAGTGTGGCTTCCCTGGTTCCTGTACTGCTTGGCACCCCAAGGGTGGGTACGAATCTGAGCTAGTAGGTGCTGGGACATAACTGTAATCCTAGCATCAAAGGAGGCTGATATAGGAGAATTACAACTTCAGTTCCCAGTCAGGCAACTGAGGGAGACCCTGCCTTAACAAAAGGGTTAGAGATGTTCTGCTTTAGTTTTGTAGTTGTAGTTTAGTAGTATCCCGACTTCGGTCTCCCATGCTGAAAAATAAAATTTAAAGGTTAAATAGGTACCAATTTTGTCCCATCACAGACTCGCAGTAACATAGTTGAACCAAGGTAAATCGGGGGCCATAGGTGTTTATGGAAAGCGAGAAAATGCTGCCCAGGAGGAAAGACGGGGACACCCTTAAACTGAAACCCACAGTGGACATGAAAAGTGCCACCGGTGGATTGAATGCCAACATGAGCGAGAGGATTGCTGAGCTGGCAGGCAGTCTTTGGCCAGGAGGGGGTGGGGGGCGTGTGCGGCAGAGTCCCAGGGGACAGCACTGGGAGCAGCCTCATGGGCCTCCCAGAGCATAGATGTCAGGAGGACCGAGCCCCAGACAGGACAGGACGAAAGCCTGCACAGCATGCCAGCAGTGTGCTGGGGGCCGAAGACAGTGTCCGGAAGGGAGAAGAGAAGAAGGCCCTTGCCCTCGTGAAGCAGGCAGCCGTGTGCTTGGAGCCACGGGGTGGCATCTTGGAGGGGTGTCTGGACTTATGTGCCCAGTGAAAACATTCCTTGAAAATGACAGTGATAGGGCGTCCCTAAGCTGCCCTGAGGTTGGGCTGCGCCTGCTGTCCTGCCTCAGCCTGCCCGAGTGGTGTGATTCCAGGTGTGCACCGTCTACAGCGAGCATAATCGTGAGAGACGGAGGTCCTCCATTAAGACCGGCAGGAAGGCAGAGAGCTTCCTGCTGCCGCTCACCTCAAGACTCGGGCCGCGCCGGAGCAGCTCGGCAAAGAGCAGAATAAAGCGCATCTGAGTGGCAGAGGGGAGCAAGGAGACCTGTGCCCACAGCTCAGACACTCGTGCGGACAGCCTTCACGGTTCACACACAGAGGAATAATGAATTTGTTAGTAGGAGGACGCAAAGTTAGCATCGGATAGTTTCGGTAACAGCAAGCAGTACATAATGAACAGTGCCAGGCAAATGAAGAAGACACTTCAGGGACAACAGCGTTGCAAAGAATAAGTTAGGTAAGAATTAAGGTGACAGACCTGACAGTGAATGGTGTCTCGGAGAGAAAAATAGATGGAAAGACATCCTGCGTTTGTGGGAGGAGGTATAAAGTGGCTAAGGGGCCGGCAGCTCCCAGAGTGAGCAGTCCCAGCTCCTGCTCAGCCTGCCAGAGTGCCGCATCACAGGCGGGTGCAGTCCCTACCAAAGTCTCGGCAACGTGTTTGTCTTTTACAGAGGTAGAAAAAGGTCGTTCTAAATATATGAGATCTCAGATTCCAGATCACCAAAATAATCTGGAAAAAGAACAAAGCTGGAGGGATTAACAGAATCAGCCTGTGATGGGCGTGGCCCACAGCCGTTGGGTCGGGCCCTCAGGTGTCTGCGCCGCTGGCAGCGGTGCTGTTCAGGCAGCCAGGTGAGAGCAGCCGATGAGCAGACGTGCTGTGTCTGTAAAGAACGCTTCCCGGCCTCGAGGAGGGTCCCTGAAGCCTGGTAGCCCTGGCGGCGTGAAGTAAGCCGGTGACAGGAGGGCGAAGGTAAACAGTCCTGGTTCACACGGCCCGCACGCATAGTAGACAGACTCAGAATGGAGAAGGCAGCAAGGCGCAGAGCTGACTTCACGCATGGCAAGGCCGTCGGTAGACACTCCTAGGAAACAAGTCATAGTTTAGCAGAGTTGCAGTAGACATTACTAAGGCTTCAGCATGCAAAAGCAGCTAACATGTCTTAGCCAGGCAAGGGTGGCACACAGCTGTAATCCCAGGCTTAGGGTCACTGTGAGCTCAAGGGCATCCTGGGACGTACACTAAGACCATGTCTCCTGAAAACAGCAAAAAAGGATGGAGAGAGGGAAGGAAGGAAGAGAAAGGAGAGAGGAAGAAAAAGAAAGAAAAAAGGGTGAGTTTGGTTATGTTTTAAAATGAATGGGGGCCGGGGAGATGGCTCAGTGGAATAAGTGCTACCCTGGCAAGCACAAGGGCCGAGTTCAATCCCTGGTTCCGCCAAAAAAATAAAAGATAAAAAAGCAAATAAAATGAATGAATGGTTGGGTGTGATTGCACACGCCTATGACCTGAGCACTCTGGAGGCTAAAGCACGAGGATCCCTGGGAGTTTGAGGCCAGCCTGAGCTGCATATTACAAAGTGAGTTCAAGGCCAGCCTGAACTGCATAGTGAGACTCTGTCTCACATAAAATAAAAAATAAATACAATGAATGAATGAAAACTAAATTGATATGTCTTAAAATACCAGTTATAGGGCCAGCGAGGTAGCTTAGAGGACTAAGTGCCTGCTTAGGCAAGCACAGGGACTGGGGTTCAATCCTCGGCAACGTGCTGCACCAGCCCAGCCGCTGGGCACACTGAGCTGGCCACTGAGACCGGGCATGGGGGCACACGCCTGTAATCCCAGCACTGGGAAGACTGAAAAGAGGAGGATCACTACAAGTCTGAGCTGTGTAGTGAGACCCTGCACCAAATACATTTTTTTAAAAAAGAAATTTACAGCCAGGTGTGGTGCATCTCTTTTTGGGCCAGCCTGGGCTATGTGTAAGGAGACTGTAATATGTAATATCAGAAATAGAAAATATTTATGGTAAATCTGACAAGATATGCATAATCTATAGCACAAAAACTATAAAACATTGTTAATACACTGACTGTTCTGAACTGACCCATGTGAATCAGTGCCGCCTCAACTGACTGAACAAGTGATCTTAAAAATCACAGGGAAAGCTAGGCAAGGTGGCCATCCCTGTAATACCAGCCCTGAGGGGCTAGGGCAGGAGGATCCTTGCGAATTTGAGGCCGGCCGAGGCTACAAAGTTAGCTTGAGACCCTGCCTCAAAAGGGGAGATGAAAAGGGTAGAGGAAAGCCACCCCCATTTCAAAAAGGCAGAGCAACTGGGCCTCACTCCAGGCTCCTAAGTGCTGATACTCAAGAGCGCATGAACGTGGTACCGGACAGAAAGGGGTCCACGGGCAGAGCAGAGTCCAGAAACCCATCGCCCTATACGGAAGCAAATGGTTTCTTTAAAAATCTACTTCAAGATATAAAACAAATGATAAAATCCACCCATGTCTAGTACCAATCGGTGAGTTTTGGCAACTGTCACTGTCACCAGATTGAAAACACTGGCAGAGTGGTAACGCTGTGGCATGTGTGCCGGGCAGGCTGTTGCAACTGTGAGCACGAGGAGGTTGGCCCTCACTGAAATTCGGAGTAGTCGCTTCACCCAGAGTCCCTTCCTCCCTCTTCTGAAATAGTCTTTTTTAAAAAAATAGACTCAGTGTGTTAGAGTGGTTTGGGGTCCCTAGCAAAGTTACCAGAGAGAGCAGGATCTCCTGTTCCCTTCCCCCGCCCACTCCCAGTTGGACTATCTGTTGTTTGGCG